GCTCCATGTGTGCCCCCCAGATGCTGGGAAGTGGGGCAAAGGGGGTTCAAGTGGGTGCAATGAGGGTGAAGGAGAGGGGATCACCCTCCCCCCACCCGGCTTGGTTAGGGGCAGCATCCCTCCCTGCAGCCAGCCGGCTGCCTCTGGATGGGTGGTTAGGGAAGTGGGGGGGCAGGAATAGACCAGGAAGGACCCCCCCCTCCTCTCTGCGGCAGGCGCTGATGAGAGCAACAGGACTGGAATGGGTAATGACCCAGCGGGGGGGGGCACCGCCTGCTCGGCGGGGGTGGCAGCCAGACCCCCGTCAGCATCACCCGCTGCACAGGACACCCACCCCCACCACCGGCATCACAGGTGGGGGAGCCGGACAGCCCCCCACCAGTACGGCGGGCTGCACGGACCCCCACCATCAGCATCACCATGGGAGGCTGAACAGCCCCCCCATCATTGCCACCTTCCAGAGAGCCCCCTCTCGGCATCACCCACTGGGCACCCCCCTCCCCCCGCATCAGCATCACCGGTGGGAGGCCGGACAGACCCCCATCAGCATCACCATCAGGGGGCTACACACGCACACACACACACACACTCCGACATGACGGGCTCGGCAGGTGCCTCCCATCACCATCACACTGGGGGGTGGAGGACAGACCCCCCTACCTCAACATCACTACCGGTCCGTAACCCCTCATCACCACCCTGGGGGGAGATTGACCAGACCCCCCCCACCTGTCACCAGCATCACTGGGAGAGCATCCAGACCACGGAGGGGGAACCATCCCCCCCCCTCCATCCCTGGAGGGGACTGCTAGACCCAGCCTCCACCACCGCAAAGGGGGGCAGTGGAGCAGGCAGTGGCTCTCCCCTCTGCGGGGCTGGGGTGTATTTATGCTGGGGCGGGGGGGCTCTTCCCCCCCCACCTTGCCTCTGCAGCTCAAGGAGGGGTGTTTGCCTATGGAGGTCCCCCAAGCAGGCAGGATGGGGGGCTGCAGGAAAAGTGGGGGCCATTCTTGAGGGTCCACAAAGCATCAGGGAGGATCAACAGTGACAGATCAGGGTGCACGGGGAGGGGGGGCATTTATTTGGGTCCTGATGGAAGCAAGGGAGATACTGATGGGGGTCTCCGCAGCAGGCAGTAAAGTGGGGAGGGCAGGACACGGGTTCA